TATAACCCAGGGGAAATGTGATCTCCTGTTTCCACCTGGGCACAACCTGCCAGTGCAAATCCTGTTCTAATTAAATTAATGTAGTGTGGTCAAGGATATGTCTTCATCATTTCACTTTCTTATTTGAATGCTGTGCCGGTAATTCCCTTGGAAGTGACATAATGGCAAGCTTTACAGGCAGAATTGGGATGCTGAGCCCCTCACCCTGGTCCCCAACCCTCATGCTCCAGGTGATCCTCACCCGGCTGTCTGGCTGCCAAATCACCATGGGGGAGTCCAGCTTCAAGACCTGACACGGCAGGTCTGAAACCCATTGGCAGAGCAGAGCAAAGCAGGGACAGTCTTTGTAACTGGGTCACCATGCCCCAGGGTCAGAGATGCACACGGGGACCTTGCCACCGAGGTGTGATGTCAGCGTGGACTTTGATAAAGGGTGGTCAACCTGCCCAGAGGCTGAACTCACCTAGATGAAAGCAGGATGGTGGCAACAGCGGCTGTTGCATTAAAGCCCATCGATTGCAAGCCTCAACCTGTGGGTGTTTTCAGGGAATTTTCAGGTGCAGATTCTCATCAAAAATGTCTAGTGGAAATAATGAGACCCAAACACTCCTTACCCAGTGGAATACCAGTACCAGTGGCCAGTCTCTAGGCTTGGAGGCTACTGTACTGGGGTCTTAACTGGGGAGGTTGCTGCACCATCTCAGGTGCACAGCTGTTGGCTATCTGGGGAGTTTCCAGCTGTTTCCAGTATCTGATCACCCTGCGACAGATGAGAGGGTGGAAGGAAAGATTCCTTAAGGGCTCTGTTCCTTTCCCATTTTTTGCATGTTATCTTTAGCCATACATCCACTCCAGTCTCTTACTATTCAGGAATTTTTAGGAGAGATCTGGAAGCAAGTAGAAAAAAACTTGCTGATAAAATACTACGCAGATAGCCCAGAGGGGAAAGCAGGAGATAACAAAGAGTACATAACCAGCCCTGGGGGTAAATCTTTACAGGGTGACTCAGTGGAAAAGAGCAAAGGCAAAGAGCAAAGGATGCAGGCTGTACCTCCAGAGCAAGGGAAGAGCCATTCCCCCCGGGGGGACAGAGTGGCTGCTGCTAACCAGGACATCCCACGGCAGGTCCCCTTAGCAGCAAGGATGATTCACCACAGAGCAAACCATCAAGGGAATTGGGGAATGCTCCATCCCTCTGTAACTTCAAAACCTGAAGGATGGCTCTGCTGGAAGACATTCAACAATGCAAGAACAACCAGGCGAAATTCTTCAGCTCTGCTAAACACAGCAGACGATATGTTGTAATGACCTATAGTAGCTTTACATCCCATTCGGTGCCATTAATCTTTTCTACTATGGACCAGAAGCTTGTGAAAGCAGATGTTGCTATCTGCCTGTCTGTCACAGCCACCCCAGTTCCAGCTCTTTTCCAGCCACCCCATTCTCTTTTCCTTACCACAAGCTCTTGTTGCTGGAAGGGAAGGACAGCTTGCCCTCCACCAAGCGTTGTGTCATGCATTGCTTCTCATTTTCAGAAATCTCCCATTCCAGCTTCTGCTCAAGTCCCTTCACCCCTGCCCCATATCAGCTTTTCCATGCCCTGTGGTCCTCTCTGGTTGTCGGTGGTTTCCTTCCATAGTCCTTCCTGACTTTCATCTGCAGCTGCTAAATCTCAGTCCACTTTCCAGGATGTTGGGGTCAGGACTGTGTCAGCTCAGCTGTGTGCTGAGGCAGGACTGGGCTCCTGATTCAAGAAGGGGAAAATGATTACATCAAACCAGTTATTGGTTTGGCTCAAGCCCCTTCATTTCTATTGCTGGAGGCATTGGCTTTGAATGGTGAAGGCAGGTTTCCAGTGCTGCAGGGAAGGGGTTCGAAGGGCTCCAGA